GGAAAGAGAGAGTAAAAGCAAGACATCAACCCCCGGAAGAGATGGCCATGACACATATCACAAATATTTTCTCCTCTCAAGACTTTGGGCGTGTTTTTCAAGCCATCTGGTCTGGGACTTGACCTGTGCAGTTGGTCATGCAGGATCCAGCCACCTTAACCTCCATACCACCAGGTGGCCCTTGGTTGTTCACCATTTTTCAAGTCTGTATATACTTCATTCCTCTAGTTTTATTACCTCACTTTATAAATGCAGAGCTCAGGCTCAGAGAGGTTGTATAACTCATTAGATCCTATGTAACAATGCTAACTAAGCAGAAAAAATGGGATCCACACCAAGCAGCCTTCATTCTTAACCATGCTAACTATGGAGGCCATGATTAAAAGTCCAGAAAAAGAGGAAACTAATCATTCAACTGAAAGGGGGGGAGGATGTTTTGAGGGAAGGTCTTATAAAAGAGTTGAAAAAAAAAAAATTAGTAGGATTCTTCCAGGGGAGAATAACAGGTAAACTGTGTTAGGACAAAATAGCATCTCCCAAAATGGAAGAGTGCATATGTATTTGAGCAGTGGGAAATGATTAAGTGTGAGAGTGAAGTTGAGGACCTACAAAAGTTTGTTTGGAATCAGCCTTTCTCCATGTTCCCAGTTCCTGAAACAGTAAAATAAAAACTGCAAGTAAGGAACTCAAAATTCCTCCTTCAACTATGACCAAGTCCTTCCTTCAACTATGACCAAGTCATAGTAACCAACACCACACCTACCAGTTCCTCATTGTTTAGTGAAGTCCTAATCACCATCGCCAGAGAGAGTCCAGATTTCCGGGCAGCCAGTGTCTAAAATAAACAGAATTTTAACTCGTAAATACATGGGATGGTTGCCACATACATATTTCTGACCAGAATGTTGAAATGTAAGAATATTGGCTATCACTGTTCGTGTTTTAGTTGACAGGGATCTACCATTTTAGTACTCTGCCAATTCACCCAGAATATGGAATTATGGACCACTAAAGTGGAAAAAAAATGTCTTAGAGAGCATCAGACTCAATAACACATTTTATTTGTTATAAAATGGAGGCAAGTTAGACAAGATGGCCAGTCTAAGGCTTCCAGGCTAGCAAGAAACTTCTAGAACTTTGTCATGATCACGTTCCTTCACAAAGCATGGCTACTGAAACAGAGCAGCCTGACTTATGTGATGGCTTCGGATCGCAGTCGGTGCTGGATGTTTTCCGAGTGTCTGCAAGTCCATAGACTGTGCCTGCATACCTAGTCAGGATATTTTCTTTCAAGTGCCCATTTTATCTACTGAGAAACATTGTGCTCAGATTCATTTTCTTCAGTTAATGCTGATAACTTAGGTAACTGTTTTTCCCTTTTTTGTTTTTATATATTTCTCAGACCATCAGATCTGGGACTTGAGCTGCGTGATTGGCTTTGTGGGAATCCAGCACCTTCACCGCCTTGCCACCTGCTGGCCCTATCTTACATTCGTATGCAAACAAATCTCTTAGCTTCCTCTAATGAGTAAGAACATAGGTATTTATGTTTCAGTGTTTGGCTTATTTCACTTGTATCATTTGCTTCCGTTTTATCCACGCTGCCTCCAATGAGAGGATTTCATCCTTTTCTTACAGCTGAGTAGCACTCCAACTTAAGTAATCTTTAAAAAATAGTCAAATCCCCTTAGTACCCCCAAATATAGAATAAAAGAGCCATCACCTGGTTCTCCTCAAAATCTATGCAACAGAAACCTCCAGCACTGAGTAGTGCTATAGGGAACGTTAGAAATCAGAATCTCTATAACTATTAATGCAGTTAACCCATTAGGAACAAAGGGAGGTCATAACGAAATAATACATCTCTGTTTGTCCCTACTCCCATTACTCCCATGTGATTCTTCCCATGTGCATCTTCCAAGCTACAAAGCCATACGTTCAGATAAAGTTTAGCACACACTCTAGTAAGGACGCCAGTCTTCACCCATTTCCACCCCATCATGTCAACCTACAGAAAGCTCGCCTCCAAGAGTTTGCTCAAGATTACCTTTCTGCTTCTGTCCCATCCTGTCCCTGACATGCTGTGGTGTGCTATTTCAGTCCGTGTTTGCACTTATTCTGAACATAACTTGGCCTGTCTTTCAAAAGTGAACTACATGTGAAATTCTTGGAGAACCCAAACTTAATCTTGTACAATCTGCCCCTTTTTATTTCTCCATCTTGCCCTCTTTTACCCCATGAGTAAACGCAATGTATGTTTGAGAAGAATGGCAAATATTAATTAAATAAGTTGAAAAGCACTTACCATGGCCTGAAGATTCCGGAAGGGAGAGAAAACAAAGTACAAATATTCAGAATAATGAAAAGTGGAAAAAGATGATAATAATATTAAATGAGCTTAACACTTTAATGTCCACACTACAATGACATAAATATGAGCAAACTGCATTACTCATCATACTCTCCATCATAAGATCATTCTAGCCAAGATCTTATCTTAAAACCAGAGTGAAGACTTTCAGATGAAGGTTTTCCTAGCCAACTTAAAAAGTATCATTATCAAAAAATTATGGGTGTCTTTGCTAAAAGTGAAATTTGCTAAACGTGTCTTTGCTAAAAGTGAATTTCTTAGGGGCAAAACATCGTTTTTCATGTCACAAACTATTAAGAATGTTCCTATAGAAAATGTGAAAACATTTTGAATGATAGAAGACACCTTTATTTTTCATGATGACAAGCTGGTTTTTATTTTTTTTTGCTTTTTGCTTTTGTTTCTTACAATCTAATATACACCATTATCAATTCTTTGCATTTCTAGGTGGTATATAGTATAGTTCATTACAGGAGAGTGAATTCAGAGCCATATTCAAAACTAATAAAGATTTTAATGGCTTTTTTTTCATGGTTTTCTTTACACAGAAGTTTATTAATTTGGACAGAATTGATCTTAATATAATCGAATAAGGAACTGATAGAAAAAAGTATGCAAGTCTACTGAGTTTAGATGAAGAAGTTCAGATCAAGTCTGAAACTTAAAAATTAAACCTGTGGTCATTCATAACATTAGACACATCAAAGCCCTGTTGCAGCAGTTTGCTTTACAGGCTGTGAGGTTTCTTTTGCTCAATAATAGGGTCATTTTCACTAAACTAGTCATTTCAATGAATTGAAATTCAATAACAGGCTAGAATTACTGCCTTCACCTAACTGATATTAAGGAATTAATAAATATGATACTTAATAGAGTCTGGCTGTATGTGTTTTATCAAATGCTTACAGGCTAGGCAAGTAATAAACAGGACTACATTACATTTTAACAAAGCAAAAGCCAACACATGCAATCAAAGAGAAAAAAACAGGAGCAACTTACCACATCCCGTACAATAGGCAAAGTTTTTTTCCTGCGGAGATCGGGCATACTGTCGATACCATAGAGGCCCCTCCCAGCCCTGAAAGGGGTATAAAAGCAATTATTTCAACACGTATAATGATTTCTTATGAGAAAAAAAAATCCACTGTTCACAGTATTAGGCTCTGAAAAGATTAAATAGATAACATGCTTTAATAGTCTGCAAAGTAACAAATTTCTAAGACTCTAGACTTGGATGAGAGAAAGACTCTAGCTAGCATACCCGCTGATCGTTTGCCTTCATGAATATTTCCATGTGTTGAAACTTTAAGATACATGACCTAGTTGAATGCACTGCTTTTGTTTTTTTTGTTTTTGTTTTTTGTTGTTTTTGGAGAGATTTTCGCTATAGGGCGCGTGCGCTCGCCAGACAGACAGAGAGAGACATAGAGAGAGAAAGCGAGAAATCACCCCCCGGGGGGGATGGTCATGCCTCAATCTCTTCTCCTCCATTCTCCTCTGGGATCTTAGGCACGCACGCACACACGCCCGGCGTGAGTTTTAAGCCACCGGGTCAGGACACGAACCGCAGTCGACTATGTGGGAGTCCAGAGACATAGCCATTACGCTAACTGCTGGTTCCCATTACACTGCTTTTTCATCAATATCAACAGAGAGAAGCATCAAAATTGTTAAGTATATAGAATTTTGTACCTCCAAAAAGATACAGAATCAAACCATTTTTGGTCTGTCTGCAATGATAAAGAAATTACCTTCATTATGAAATATGCCGTTTTTTGTGTGCTTCATCTTCATGCATTAAACTCTAAATGGCATCTCAAAGAGCCATGAATAAACTAAAAATTTTAGTAATTACCATTAAGCTAGAAATTCTATTCATCTGAATTTATCCCACAGATAAATGCACAGAATTATAAAACTTGCAAGGAGGTTCCTTGCAATGTTTTATGTAATAGCAACATAAGATCAGGAACCTAAATACTCATCAATAATATACTGATTAAGCGAATAAAAGGAAGAGTTAGAGTGACTAAGATGAATGAGTATGTATGCATATAAAAAATACAAATATAGGGGACCAGCAGTTAGCGTAATGGCTATGTCGCTGGACTCCCATGTAGTCGACCGCGGTTCGCGTCCTAGACCTGGTGGCTTAAAACTCACGCCGAGTGCGTGCACGTGCGTGCACAAGATCCCAAGAGGAGAATGGAGGAGAAGGGATTGCAGAGTGGCCATCCCCCCTGGGGGGTGATTTCTAGCTTTCTGTCTCTCTGTCTCTCTCTGTCTGTCTGGCGAGTGCACATGCCCTCTAAGTAAAAACCTCTCAAAAAAAAAAAGAATAAAAAAAACAAATAAATTAAATTAATGGAATAATATTGTATATTACTAAGTTAAGGATACTCTTATATATGCATGTGGCTAAATATGCACAGAAAATATCTAGAAGGATAGTTATAAAACTGGTAACCATAGTTACCTCACGGCGTAAAATCATATGAGAAGACCCACTAGGTCATAAACTTGGAAAAGTTCTATACTTTTATGATAAATGTGTATCATTTTGCAATTAAAATAATCTTAAAGTTGTATGAATATTTGTTTATTAAAAAATTGAGACAACTATATTGAATTTGATTTTTATTGCATCAAATTGAGTCATCTTATGCAGCAAAGAGTAACCCAAACTACTGACGATTTGACCCACTAGAACTACAAACCTTACTGACTCCTTGCTGAGAGTCAGTTTATTCATTATCAACTGCATGGTTCATGCCCCTGGGTTAGCTAGGTAGCCCTGACATCGGAACAGGTTATACCAGCCAGTTATAGGTTATCAGCCTATTACAGTTCACCTGTTCATTGACAGAAAGATGGCCTCTATGTTCTCGCTGCTTAGTTTATTAAAGGGCAACTTCCTGTCTCCTTGGATTTTTCTAAGAGCCCTGGTCTTCAACACTTTCTGAAGAATCTATTTCTAGCTTTGTAATCCTGGATACTTCACTTGATTCATCATCTAATATGTGTAAAATAGTATAAAAGCAAAACAGTAATAAAGATAAAATGGTAATAAATAAATGGCAACAATTCATAACTTACATGTTGAGAAATGAGTTTCCAATGTAATAATTGTGAAATTTAAAACCATTATACAAGAACAAGGAGGATATCAGGGAAGAGCAGATTGAGTTATGGTCATGTATTTCAACAAAATTGCTTTTAGTTTTGATGACAGTAAGGAAAAACAATAAATGTAGAGCAGAGATCAAGAAAGACAAAAAGATAGAAAGGGAAAACAAGGGAAGAGGATATACGCATGGGAAGAGAGGACCTCACGTATTTATTCTATGAAATGGAGGTTAATGTAGTCTCTTTCATTGTCCAGAGTAATGCCAGTTGGCACCTTGAGGACAAGGGCTGTGATAGCCACAGGGAGTCAAAGCTTGGGAATTTGGGTCACATAAAAGAGTCATTGGCAGCATGTTTTCTTTCTCTATTTTGGATGATGCTTCTGTGTTTCCAAGTTCTCCTTTTTAAATTACTTACGCATTTATTTAATTTTGAAGTTCTTCCCCTTTATGAGTCAGAGACAGAGAGAGACAGAGAGACAGGTACTCCCAACAGGGTCTTTGTACTGTGATCCAGCCCCAGGTTTAGCCAGTCCCAGATCATGGGCATATGTATGCCCAGTGTTTTCAGGAGGTGTCCAGATGCAAGTCCAGAATCGTCCCATGTGGATCAGTCTCACGGTGTTGCGTTACTATTATAATAACACCCACCCACCCTTTGTTTATTTTCAATGGACAAATAAGAATTATGTATACATATATGGAATACAATGTGATGCATTGCTCTATGTATACACTGTAGAAAGACTTGGGACCAGCACTTAGCGTAATAGTTATGTCACTGGGACTTCCATGTAGTCGACCGCGGTTCGAGTCCCGGACTCGGTGGCTTAAACTCACTCTGGGCGCGTGTGCATGCGTGCCCAAGATCCTGAGAGGAGAATGGAGGAGAAGGGATTGCGGCGTGGCCATCCCCCTTGAAGGGTGATTTCTCACTTTCTGTCTCCTGGCTCTCTCTTTCTGGCGAGCGCACACACCCTAAAGCAAAAACCTCTCCAAAAAAAAAAAAAAAGAAAGAAAGAAAGACAATTAAGCTGTTCAACACATCAATGCCTCTCCAACTTTTCTTTGTTTTCTGTGGTGAGACAGTTAAATGCTCTTTTGTACTTCAAGTAACTATCAGAGTGAGGAAAAAGCACAACGAACGAACATGTTTTCCTTCATGTTCATCTTAAGAAAGCACATCAACTATATGGACTGCTGCGTCCGTGTAATGCCTGCTTCCTTCCTGCCCTCTTCCATATTCCCTCCCCCCACCAGCTCACGCTTACCTTCCCCAAGATGTCAAATCCAGGAGAAAAGGGCTGTGTGACTGAACTTCGAGTAACTTTTCCAATGTCATTTGTTCACATTTTAGGCAATAATTCTAAGCCATTTCTACTTTCTCCTCTTTGTGAACAGTATTAATAATGACATGAAGTGTACATTAATAAATATCCTTCTACCACATTACATACCAATCATACTAACTAGCTGCTTCAAAGTGTTTTGAAATGTTTTGACTGCTAAATAATGTGGCTTTTACAGCTATGTAAAGAAACATGTTCAGTTGAGATAATGACTGAGAAAGTGAGTTATAAACTGCAAAGTGTTATATAAATGAATTGTCTATTTTCTTCCTGTCAATAGTCATTTATTTCTTTTGTGTTTTCCTTCTCAGGGAACTTAACTGAAGTTTCCAAGGAGCACCCAGAATCTTGAGTCAGCTCTATATATTCACAAATTGTGGGAAAATTCTACATACTTGTATTTCTAAGCCTAACACTTTACTCCTCCGTCTCGTCAGAGAAGAAATATCCAAAGACCTGCGTCAGATCTGAGTCTTACAGAATAATGAACCCAAGTTAGAAGACATGCACCTAAAATTCATCTCTGCCCCTTCAGATTTCGACACTTAATTTTACTGAACTTACCTTCTGTAATTTGAAAAACTGCAACACATTAAAAAGTGTACTTTTGACCTTGGAGACAGCCTCAAAAATGTTATTAACAGGTTATGTCTCCTAATACGTTCATATTTTCATCATTATTATAAGAAGTTTATAACAACATACACTTTCACAAACCTATCCATCAACTAATAAAAAAGCTTTTATGGCAAATCTAGACCTTAAAGAAAAAAAGAAAAGAAACCGCCTCATGCTTTGCCTCATGTATAGGGAAATGCTAGATAAACACTGTGAAGTTCTACACAAATACAAATCAATACTTCTGCCATATTTATTGGGAGGCTTCCAAACCAAAAGAGATCGGGGAGAGATTAAATAATAGAAGATAAAAAAAAAATAGAACATAGTGAAAACTGGAAATATCAGTAGATAAATAAGTCATTGGCATTGCAGGTGAGAGGTCAAGTTCATGCATGGTGGTTAAAATCTAGAAGAAACTATGTAGGGTTAATGACAAGGAAATCAGAGGTAGTCATCAAAATAGGCCATAGCCTATAAGTAACTGTGAAGGTGAGGTCTGAATCTAGGGAACAAGCTGTTTGATTTCAGACCTTTTGGGTATAGCTGCTTGCATTAAAATGGCCCTGACTCTAGCTAGCCAACTAGCTCCCAATAGCTAACATGCATGTGGTTTTATGTGGTGCCAGATAACACGAACAATTATAGCTATCATTTACAGAGTGTTTATCATTGTAAGCACTTTATCTGCATTATTTCATTTTATTTTTAAATATACTGTGAAGCACAGGTACAATTATATTCCTCATTTTATGCATAAGAAAATGGAGACATAGAATTCTTCAAAATCATCCCCAAGATCACAGCCTAGTTCCAAAATGGCAGGGTTAGGACTTGAATCCAGACTCTAAAGATCACCATGCCCCACTGCTGGTATGATTGGATCATCTCATACCTACAACATTATATGAGTTACTGCCTATAATAAATCCCACTTAAGTCCCATTTAATTTTATGTACATGTTGTGTATATATCTATATATTTG